TCTGTGGCTCAGTCCCGCCCCTGTCCTTTTTTTGTCCAATGGGAGCAATGATCGTCACCCTCGTGGCTTTGTTTACAAGTTATAGTTCGTTTGCAAAAAAGCACAATGTGAATGCAAACCGCACCAAACGGAAAAAAAAGGCCATTTTTGGTCCGGACCAAACAATTGGACCAAAGGACTTTCCTGGTCTGAATACACCCTCAGACTCCAAAAAGCACAAGTGTATAAAGTAGTTGAAAGAAATAACCAAATAAACGTAAAAATACTTGAACAGAAAATGAATTTGGTAAAAATTAATTTCACAGATAAGAAAAGTACTTAAGTAAAAGTCATAAAACTGCTCACAATAATCGGAAAATTCAAAATACTTTTACATGCACTCGAGAAATGAAGTGTTGAGTTTACCCAACCAAGTTATGTCATCAAGTTTTACTAAACTGGGCTGAGTAAATTATTTTACATTTGCTCAACTTGTTTCAGTGGAACTCGTTGACATAATTTGGTTCAGTAAATCCAACACTTCATTTTTTAGAGTGCATGAACAACTCCATCATGATGAGTTCCGGTCATATTTAAATTGTAGCGTGTTACAAGGTGTTCGATTTTAGGGTAAAGAAGTAAAAGCACAATTTTTATGTTTCTAATGTAATGAAATAAAAGTGTTATAATTTTAAAAAATTAGAAAAATTACAAATCCACAAAAAAAACGACTTATGTACTGAAACAAATTAAATGTACATAGTTACTATAAACATACTTTACACGTCTCACCAGTGATTATTTCCTGAAAGTTTAATTCAAATCCATCCAGTGGTTCAGGAGATATTTTGCTAACAGACAAGCAGATTTTACTGTAATGGTTAAAGGCAAAAAAACAAATCTCGCAGAATCAGTTAGCGTACAGACTATGTGTTGGGATGACTCCGTTACAACTGTAAAATTATCCTACACATTCTCACTCCCAAGTCGTCACATATTGACGTTTAAGGTAAGGTTCCCTCTGCGTCTTATTTGGACGCAGAAGGTACCCCCCTCGCGTCAGTCCTTGACGCCCACGGCTTTTCCAGGTTGCGCCACGTACCCCTAATTTACACTACATGTGTTACGGCTCCGCTCCGGTCCAACCTCCGCAGCAAATACGCACCCATTATAATCAATGAGAGCGTTTACACTGGCTGCGCAGGGTGGCGGTGAGCGACGGTGAGCGGACGGGGATCCGGCAAAATTAGATCCGATCTTATTTCTGCCGGACGCCGAAGCTGCGCCGGAGTCAATTTTTAAAGATTACGCCGCACCAACAGGAAGAGGAACGAGCACAACATCCATATTTTCAAAATAAGACACTATTAGGTGGAATAATTTGTCGGAATAATGTCGAAATCCGAGCTATATTAATAAATATATGGGTATATTTCTATACAAATGATGTCAGAATGTATCGTTCTGTTTGGGAAGCAGATGGAAACGTAGCATATGTGTACACACATGATACACATGGATTTTATTTTGAAATCAGAAGTTTCAAAAGGACGACAGTGAGACAGTTTCAACATAGATACCAAAAACCTTTTTATCGTTGTTTTCATCTGGGTTTGGAGTTCGTCTTTCACAGAATTAATCAGTTTTTGCTCTGACTTCCACATCGCTGGATTTATCACGTGATCCCCTTCTTCTACACGCTCCCTCCTCTGTCGCACCGGAGCGGAGGCTGTATAAATTGGGGCACAAACGAGCAGCTGCGAACTGCGCACCGCAGCGCAGCGGAGCGGAGATGCATGTATTGTAAATCCAGGGTTAGGGGTCTATGGGTTGGGGGTCTGAGGTTAATATGAGGGATCAGGATTAATGGTTAATTTTAGGTACTGGGGTCAGGGATAGGTTGTATAAGGTTAATAGAAGTTAAATTTTGGGTCTGCGATGGTTAGTTTCGCACATTTCCTACTCTTTTCAAAAAATATGACAACGCGCTCCTCCTCCTCCACCTCATCTCATAAAAAACTGACGTGCGGGGGGTACCCGATGTGTCTGAAGCTGGACGCAGACAGCTACCTGACCAAGCGTCAATATGTTGACAAGTTGGGAGTGAGAGTGGGTTGCATTCTGATGTGCACATGGAACCTGGTGCACATTATCTTTTTGTGCATGTACGCACTGTTGATACATGAGCTCCAGTTGTTTTACATATATAAGCTTCTCAAGGTTGGACTTTGCATCTCTGACCCATCATAAAGCTTCCAAACCAACATCACACAGCAATACAAAGAAATTATACTATGAAAATGTGATCTTTAGGATATTTTTCTCAGCTCAGTGAGTTATGTTTACGCCTAAACGTATTCAGTTTTTTTTAGAAGTATACAATCATTGATGCTAACTAGGTTTGATTTTAAAAAGACTTTTTTCAGAAGAATGGTACATATAGATAATTAAGAGTTAATAAAACTATGTCTCAGAAACATCTAATGTTTTGTTTTTTTCCATGAACAGCTTTTTTTTTTTTGCCTTGCTGGTAATAAATGAAATTCCATTTTTGGCAATATTTTTGAAAAGAAATGTCTCTGATAGCTTTTACTAAACTGAATGCATTTTTCTGCAGACGTCTTACGACACTGTATCCATGGGAGGATTCAGTGAACGCAGCAGCTTTCCACACGTGAGTGCTAAAATGTTTTGATTTACTCATTGTAAACTATCTTTGTCACAAAACCACTGTTATAAAATCTGTGATGACAACTGTCTCTCTGACAGAACGGGGATTTCTCAGACGGACACATGATGCGAGATGTCATCAGTCGAATCCCAAGCATCGTCGTCACCTCAGAGACAAGTCCCTTCCTGCCCGTCGGACGAAACAGTTCACGCACAACCAGACCTAAAACTGCAAACAACAACACGGGGGCGGGGCATGGCTAGAGCTCCGCCCCTCCCTCTTTACAAACAGCAGCAGCCATAAAACCAGCTGATTTCCTGTTACATATAGTTTAAGTCCTCAAAGTCAGCAGTGAAAGTCAGATTAGATCAATTATTTGAACTCACAGTAAACTTTTTATTTATATTTTTTCTTCAGATTTTAATGATTATAAAGCTGTTTTTTCCAACGATACAAAAATAGATTACTTACAGAGCAACTTACTACAATACGTAGCTCAAACAAGAGGTCTTATAAGATTTTAAGATTGAAAAACGACTGAATTTAAAAGAAAATGTGCTTTTCTGGTCCATTTTAGCTTTGTCAGCAGATGTGTTTGTCAGAGAGCAAACATCTTTGTTGCAGGGTTAGATCAGGTTTAATTCAAAGTTTTTAGCATTTTAATGCTTCTTCACAGGAGATAAAAAAAACTGTTGGATAATCAATCAGGCTTGCTGCAGTTTACAAAAC